GCCTGGCCAGAGGTCCACTGCCAGTAAGTGGCAGAGCTGGGATTTGTGCTTCAGTGCCCAGTTTTGTGGCCATCTTCATAACCACTTGCTGGGCTCCTTTGTGGGCCCTTGAGAGGCTTCTTCTCCCCAGTGGCCTCTTGCATTATTAGTCTTTCACTTGATTCTCCCAATTATCAGCCTGGCCCAAAACCACATGGCCCACATCCAATTAACACAACAACTTCCCACCTGTTGTCCAGATACTGTTTTTAGGCTGAACTGTGTCTCCTAAAATTCATATGTTGAAGTCCTAACCCCAGTAACTCTGAATGGAGCTGCATTTCAAGATTAGGTCCTTAAAGAGGTATAAATAAGGCCACTAAGGCTCGATGTAGCATGACTCATGTCCTCTTAAGAAGAGATTAGGATACAGACCCACAGAAAAGACCAGGAGAAGAGAAGGGAGGAGGGCAGCTATTCTGAAGCTAAAGTACAAGGCCTAAGCCTTGTCAATTTTTTGATTTTGGATTTTATGTTTACTTTTTCTTGTTGCTCTTATTTTTCTTTTTTTCTTTTTTTGAGACAGGGTCTCACTATGCAGTTTAGGCTGCCCTTGAACTCACTATGCAGCCCAGGCTGGCCTCAAACTCACAGAAATCCTACTTCAGCCTCCTGAGTGCTGAAATTACTGGCATGCACTACCACACCTGGCTTGACTTTGTACTTTAACCTCTCAGCCTGTGATACTTGTTGTGGTGACCCTCAAAAAGTCCACAGATGCTAATGTAAAAACAGATGCCAACCTGCTACCTGTGGGACAAAGTCCACACCCCTTAGCCCAGCGCTCAGGATTTGCCACTACACCATCTCTGCTAACCATTTTATCTACCATTTCTGGCTCCAGGGAGTCTGAGCTGCTCATTCCTTACACTCGGAGCTTGGTGCCAACCCAGAGCCCCCATATTCACCATGACTACCCCAAATGACTTTAGTGTTGCTGCTGAAGGCACACAGCTGCCTCTTGTCCAGAGCATGCCCCTCCACTGACATATGCCTCCCCTGTGCAGGGCTACCAAGGGCAGCAGCTATCTGGCTACAATAGGACCTCCTCAGGACAGCCAGCTGAGGTTAGACTGGACCTGAGATGGCATCTTCACTGCCTCCCCTACCCCCTTTTTCTGCCTACCTCTCTCTCTTACAAATCTACTTGAAACACACCCTGAAAAACTGATTTTATAAGAATCTCAACTCTGCTTCTAGGAAAACTTCACCTAAGACACTGCCCTTCCCTTAAGGCAGCACACTCACACTGTGTGGGATGAGAGTGTCTAAAGAACAGCATTCTTTCTCCTTCATGGTACAAATGCTCATCTGCCAACGTAGACTCCACCCACCCTTCCAGGCTACAAAGTGTCTCACCTCACTGGGAAGGGAGGTCCTAACCTACACAGCCCATATTATCTCTCCTTCTCAAAAGCTCAACATTTCCTGTGCATTAATTAGCCAGCAGTGCTACCATGTGGTAGGCACTCCATCAATAATCTACAATGAGCTGGACATGGTGGCACATGTCTGTGATCCCAGCACTCGGAAGCCTGAGGTAGAAGGATCAGGAGCCTGAGGCAGAAGGATCCCTGTGAGTTTGAGGCCAGCATGGGCTACATAGTGAGTTCAGAGCCCACCTGAACTGCAAAGGGAGACCCCGCCTCAAAAAAACAAACAAACAAAAAATTAATAATAATTAAGCACCTGTAAGAGAGTATCACATTTTGAGACTTCAAGACCATTTAAATTTAAATATAACTAAAATTTTAGTCTGACCAATGCAAACCAAAGCGGCTGAGAAGTGATCAATATGCTCAACTGTGGGGAATGACTTATATGCTATGATCTCCATAGTAGAAGCAACACCACACCTTCCAGGTTAAGATATATGATAAAATCACAGGCAGTTACAGATAAATTATAATCTCATTTTGATAAAAGGGCCTTCAAGTTAAAACAGACAACAGCAATGACATCAAACTAAAAAGCTTCTACATAAGGGTCGGAGATTTAGCTCAGTGGTTCCACCACCTGCCTCGAAAGCGCAAGGTCCAGAGTTCGATTCCTGATACTCAAAAAAAAAAGCTTCTACATGGCAAAGCAAACAAGGAATATACTGAAAAGACAATCTATACAGTGGGAGGGAAAACCTGCAAACCATATATCTGATGAGGATTTAACATTCAAAATAGAACTCAATAGCAAGAAAACAAATAGCTCAATTTTAAAATGGAGAAAGGACCTAAACAGACATTTCTAAAACTCAGACATATAAAATGGTCAAAAGGTATATGAAAAAAAGCTCAACATCACCACTCATCAGGAAAATGGAAATCGAATCTACAAGGAGATATCACTGCAAACATGCTATAGTGACTATTACCAAAGAGGAGAAAGATCAAGTGTTGGTAAGGAATGAAGAAGAGGAGACCCAGGGTACACTGTTGGTAAGAAAGTAAATCAGTGTTTCTGTTATAGAAAGTAGTATTGAGGAGCCTCAAAAAATTAAAAATGGGGGCCAGGGATTTAGCTCAGTGCTTCCGCTGTCTGCCTTGCAAGTGCAAGGTCCCAAGTTCGATCCCCAGTACAAAAAAAATAATTAAAACTGGAACTGCCATATGATCCTGAAATTGCACCACTAGGCATATTTCCAAAGGAAATGAAATCAGTATGTCAAAGAGACATCTCCACACCCATATTCATGGCAGCACTATTCACAAGCACCAAAATATGGGCTCAGTCCATGTGTTCAACAACAGATAAGTAAATGATTAAGAAAATGTAATATAAATATACACAGGAGCACTGTTTAGCTTTGGAGAAGAAGGAAATCCTGTCATTTGTGACAATGTGGATGAATGTGGTGGACATTTTGTTAAATGAATGAAGGGAGACATGGAACGATAAATACTACATGATCTCACTGACATGTGGAATCTAAAAAAAGTCAAACTCCCAGAAGCAAGGAGTAGAGTGGTGATTATTACCAACTCAACAGGAAGGAGGCCTGGGAAGATGCTGATTGAAAGACAAAATTTCAGTTAGCCAGGAGAAAGTAAGTCTAAGAGTTCTCTTGTACAACATAGTGACTATATTTAATAACAATGTATTGGATCTTGAACATGTGGAGAAAGCAGATTTTAAGTATTCTCAGTACAGATAAATATATGAGCAACAGGGTATATTTTAGGTTGATTTAGCCAATCCATTGTGTATACATATTTCAAAATATGTGTTGTAACCATAAATATATAGTACATATATATTTTAGAAAACTAAATGAATATAAAATATAAATATAGAATATAAATTTTAGAAAATTAAAAGTATGCTCACTTATTTGCAAAGTGACTTTAATTATGTGCCCCTCTTGTTCTGCCCTCTGCTCTGTGCTATTTATTTTGTCTCCACCCTTCCTGAGTTGTACTTTGGATATATTTACAGTATACTACATCACAAAGTATCTACACTGATGGCCCGAAACTACCACACCTTCCAGGTGAAGATATAGAATACAATCACAGGCAGTTACAGATACTTTATAATCTCATTTTGATAAAAGGGCCTTCAAACGTCATTGTTTCAGCTTCTTGGCTTAGGAAGTAACACTAAAGATCAATGTTATAACAGGAGAAATGGTCTGGGATCCCCACAAGCCATGTGTAGACAAGAAGGGCATATAATGTTTGAAGAGAATGTAAATAATAAAAGTCATTTACAGGTAGTTTGTCTTTTACTATCACCAGAGAGGGACAATTCTGAGCAATTCCTAAACCATGATATGATACTGTTACCAGACAACTGGTCTCAGTCTCACCCAACTTCCAGGCTCTTTTTATCCCAAAGAAAGAAAGACACAGATTTATTAAAGGAAAGTACATTCCCCAGATCAGGATCAGGGAGATAAGAAGAGTGACAGCCCCATCTGCTCCAGGTTTTGAGATATAGTACTTATTGGGTCTTGGAGTCTGAGGTCTTAAGAGTCTGGGGTGGCATCTAAGAGGACTCTGTCCAATTAATTTAAAGTCTCTACCCTCATATCAGGAGGGAGCTTTTTATATGAGCCTGGACTGAACCAGCATGGCTGCCAAAGACCATGGTGTTGAGTGGGGGGGTGTCAAAATTGCAATGGTAATGACATTGCAATGACCACAGCATTACCCTCAGTCCCTCTGAAACAGCTGGTGCACGTGCTCCACAGTCTCATGCCAGAGGTCAAGAAAGTATGACAAGTGAAAGAGCATATTTCTCAGGCTCATGTCAGGTTGTTAAGGAAATGTGGGGAGAATGGGATGCTCTTGCAGTCTCTCAGAGCTGGGAGGCGTCCTGTCTGTTGTGAGTCTAAGGCCAGGATGTCACCCACACCACCTCCTGCCTCCATGCAGCTCTCCACAGGATAGGCTGCATCCCCTGCCCTTGCCTCTGCCTTGATAAAGTGCTGCTAAGAACTCAATCCCATGTGGGCTCTATAGGACTGGTGCTGAAATTGTATGCAATTACACATGTCTGAAATGACAGAAGAAACCCAGGGTGACCACTGTGCAATGGTGGAAACATCTCTACCTGTGCTGTCCACTATGATAGCACAAGTGACACGTGGCTATTCAGCACCTGAATGGGGCCAGGGAGATGGAGGAATTGAACTTTGTGTTATTTTATTACTTCAAATAGTCATCTATGGCTATTGGCTATCATATTTTTCAGTGCAGATTTAGAATTTATATTTTCATACAGGCAGAATCATAGAATAAGCAGACACAAACCAACTCCTGAAACCAACCACTTTAATATTTTAATCTGTTTTTTCTTTTTTTGGTACTGGGGATCGAACTCTGGTCCTTGCACTTGCGCAGTAGGTGATGAAAACCACTGAGCTAAATCCCCAGCCCGATCTGTTTTTTTTTTAATGAGACAAGCCAGACCCTGACCCTATTTACACCCTGGCGCTAGACAAATCCTACAAAAATGACAGGTACCTGCACAGGAGGTGGCTTCCACCGCAGGTTCTTCAGAGGAGCTGGAGTGAAGTTGAATGAACCCGTAGGCCTCTTCTTAAGCAGTAGCACAACTCCAGTGGGATTCTCTCTCAATTTCCTCACCAGGTTTTTTAGCTGCCATCCCACCTTCAGAGGGAGAACACAAGGTGTGAGGACTTGTTCATGCATAAAGAAAAATCAAGTCTGTGAATTTATCTCAAGGAAATGACAGCTGTGAGCAAATAAACAGGCAGATACAAGTTTGTCTTAGCACTTAAGACAGCAGAAAAGCAGACAGAAATTACAAACTTTAAAAATTTAAATCAAAGGATTTTACATTTAGTTAAAAGAGGGAAAACAGGACTCAATAGACAAACTCACCACAGTTTGCCGATTAACTTGAATGACTTCATCACCAGCATGAATCTTCTGAGATCTGTCTGCAGGAGACTACATAGAATTAAAAGAGACTTTTTTAGTTTTCCAAACCTTCTATTATTTTGTACTTCTATTTCTTCTTCTGTAGACAACTAAATTAAAATTTTCTCAGGATAAAGAAGATAATGTATTAATCTCCCAAGATTACCTAGTCCATGGAAGCTGGCATATAAAGACTGTGTTTTCCATTTTATTAGTGTCTGTTGTAATAATCTGTCCGTTAGAACAGTTAGGTTTATTTAACCTATGGAAAGAGTCTGGACACCATGCTGAAACAATCAGTTGCTAAAAACCACTGGATCATATAAAAACTACTCACAAATATCTCTATCAGAATTAATCACGTAAAAGCTGACCAGTTGTTTAACATGTAAAGATTATCTTTGTAACTCTGTCATCCCTTTTCCATATTAAACTTGAATCTTCTCTTCCCACAGTCTTTTATATATTATCATAATGGTATTAAAATAGAAAGTTGGGAGCAGTAGAAAATTTATCTCTTTGAAGAAAATGAATATAATTTTTTTCATTTCTGGCTAAATTAAAAGTGAGTGAGCCTTCAGTATCAAGACAAAGTACAAACTTTGTTTCTCCCCAATAATACACTGCTATTGATTTGCAACAACAAAAATATATATAAAGGATCTAATTTGCCAACTATGTTGCCCAGAGTATTTTTGTCCATACAAGCAACCCAGCACTCTTCATGTTTAAGACCTCTCACATAACAGAGAGAAAAGAAAGGATAAAACCTTGATTTCAGAGATTCTAATTAAACATTATATAAGTCAGAGTAGTTAATTTTCCAACTTTTGTAACTGGCTGGAATCATCAAACAATTTACAGTTCTCCTAAATGAAACAGCGCCTCTGAACATGAGGAGGGGGCAACAAGAACACTCAAGACATACTTGTTGAATTTTCTCACTCTACCGCTAGGATATGCTACACAAGAAATTAACAAGCAACACTAAACTGCAGAAAGACTCTCTTTGATTTATCCAGGCTCAACCAACACAAGCCACAGGTAACTGTGCCAGTTACTTTCAAAAACATTCAACTTCCCACCATAACAACCAGCTCTGCCTCACTTGAAACTCTGAACAACCATAGCACGGGGAGATGTCTAACTAGAATCTCTTTCTCATGAGTCACTCTGTTAAAAAAAAAAAGAATTTATCTGTGCTCCTTTTTGTACCTGTGTCAGATACTTAACCCACAGTTTCCTGATCACAGTCTGTTTAATCTTCCTGAGCAGGGTCATTTAAAGTAAATGCCACTCTATAAAACATGGCCCTAAGGCCAAGAAGTCCCCGTTTATGGACCTACAATCATAAAACACAAGCACTCATGTCCTTGGCTGACTTCTCTTCCTAAGGATCTCCATGCATTCGTTTCTCAAATGTTCCATCAAGCAAGCAGGATTCGTGTGTTGGCAGAACTCTAGTAAAGAGAGAACCTGATACAAAACTTTCCCTAGGGCAGTAACTCCTGCTTATCTTCACCATGAGTCGGACTACTGAAAAATGATGCCTGTTCTGGTTTGCTGAAGAAGGGTGATGACCTGAAGAATAATGCCCTCAGTTCTTCAGAAGCTAATCTACTTTCCAGCTCATCTCAGAGTGGAGGACAGGAATACGGGTGGTATCAAGACTCCCTTCAAGATTTTGAATAACCTCAAAAAAGAAGTCAGATAAAGAATCACTGTGGAACGGTCCTGACCTCTGAGAAAACCTCCAAAAAACTGAACTGGTGCTCTGAGAATGGTCTCTGAGACTGCATTAGTCTGGAGTCCAAGAGAAGGAACATGGAGACAATGAAGGTGGGAAAGCAATGGGAGACTTTTACCCACTACCATTCATTCATCCTTTAAAGGAGTCTGACTCTAAAATCATAGTGACCTGAAGTGATAGCAAGAAAACTGACCTGGAGCTACCATTTTCTACATTCAAGTATAAAATATCTACGAGTAAGTGTAAAATATCCATTAAGCCCTTGAAAAGTGGGCTCTTCCCTACTTCCCACTCTCAGTTACAAGACTCAGCTCAGTGTATAGCACATGTCAGGCATTTAATAAATGCAACTGATGGACTGAATGAGTGACATGACATTTTTAAATAGATTACCAGATAGAGTAAGACAAGTTTTCTCTTTCTGATCTCTAGCAACATGTTAACCACTTCTTTTTGTGATGATGTCCACACAGTTCTACATAAGACCACCAGAATAAACTAAATCCAGGTAAACTCTGGATCTGTCACCTAGTATTATGATTCTTTTAGGACTTTGGGAGGATATATCATCAATGACATTTGACAATGCATTTTATTCAAAGGCAATTTTGTCTAAGTTTCTCATTTAACTCTCATTTTTAAACAAAAATGTGCAGAACAGAAGAGAGGTGTCTATGCTATCTCCTATAGTGTTCCATGTGTTTATTCAGGCATGAAATTGCTTCAAGAAGACCAGGTAGAGTTTGAAACCACCCAGGTCTGGTTTAGTCAAACAATACAGTCACCAAATTACAAGATTGTGCAACTTCAACTCTTTAAAAACTGAAACATTCCCCATCCTTCTGAATTGATCCAACTCCAAAACGATGTATTAAACGGTACATGAACATGGTTTTATGGTGGTTGAGCCACAACCTACAAAATCTTCAGAACGCATAAAAGATGAATAATGCAAAGCATTGTGCTTTTTTTTCTTTAGCAACATCCCAGCCTAAAACTCTGAAGCTCACTTCCTATACTATCATTACATATTAGGTAAGGTGGTATAAAACTTCCCAGTGATTTCAGCATTGAGTCTCAACATAAAATTCTTAAAGACATTACCATCTTCCACTCAACTGTCTACAGGAACCATGCAGTTGATTTACAAATCATTGACTACCTTAAGCAATGTCATTTTCTTACTGCAAAAATCAAGTGCCTGTCATGAACATTCATCAAAGATTACGCCATTTTCTTTTATCAAAAGACCTAGCAACTGAAGCTTAAAATGAGACATGTATTTCATGAAACACAGTAGAAAATAGTTATCAAAATTTCTGCTATTTTTTGGAGTTATTTCCTCTTCTCTTAGTTGATTAAATAATAGACTAATTTGTCAAATACATGCTTCTTTTACACAGACCCAGGGAAGCTATTCAAAGATTTTTAGCTTTAGATCAGTGTCATTCAACAGCTGGCCATACTGTAGGTTGCAAAAAGAACATCCAACTAGCTCTCCTTTTTGCAAATTCAAAATAGTCGAGGCAATAAAGAATAACCCTACATAGAGCAAAATTTCCAGAAGGAAGTAAATGGTATATAAAAGTCTCTTACAGTAGAAACATCTGCTTTTTCTATTCAAAGGACTGTGGAGGAGGGGACTCAATTTCAATATTGTGACAAATATTATGAACCATAACTACAAAAAGAATTTGGCTCATGCAAAAATCTCAAAATAATAACTTTGGAGACACAAAATTTCTGTTAAACAAAAAAATATATATTTTATACATATGGCCACCAATCCCTGTTCTTATAAGAGGAATTCACAACAACAGAGAGAATATTGTTTGTGTATTTATGGTTTAACACTTCTTCTGTGGTACAAAAGCAATAATTAACATAAGGTTGACGGTAAAAACTCAGCATGGTGTGTGAACAAGACCAATAAAAGACAATTTAAATAAAAATTTGACAACATCTGGTGATAAGCAGTATTGTAGTATATCAACAGACAAAACAGGCACCCACGCTAGCTCTCACTACAGATGATAGCATGCACACATTTAAATGAAAAGAACAAAGCCCTGTGTCAAAATTTGTTTAAATACACACTAGCTTTTACATTTAAAGGATACACTTACATTTTCTGTGGTTCCAGTAATCACGTGCAATCCATCATATGTTGATTTGATGTACATGCCCTGGAATGAATCACAAATACATTAATTCATTACCATGTGGAGAGAGAGGAGCCACGAGTGAGCCTTGAACTTATTAAACATTAAATACAGTCCCTTCAGAACAATGCTCATTTTTAAGCCTCCTGAAACACCCATGAAATAAGATCCAGAGGGCAGTGAAGGAGAACTAAATAAATCAAAAGCCAAGTGAAATAAATCAGACATGAGATCTCTTTGATATTGTAATTTGTGTACCTGGCACATAGAAATTTGCCACTACTCTTTAGGATGTAGGAATTTTCTCAGACCTGCTCAACAAGCAAGGAGGCATTTCAAACAAGGACTCCTCTTTCCTGACCATCTCTTTGTCCAGAGACACAATACAGTCAGTTAAACTTGGTATCAACAGTAATTGTAGGGTCAATTATTTAAGCCGACAGTAATGCAGACTGGGATGTATGAGTGAACACTGTTGTATAACACAGTACAGGTAGCAAATTAGAACAAGCACTGCTCCATTTTTAGTGAAGCAGAAGGATGAGTATATTCCTTCTCAAAGGCCTGTGGGCTACCTCAAGAAATGAATACTGTATTATCCAGGAAATATTCCTGCAATTGGACAATTCATGTGTACAATATTTTCATTAAGCTACTATAATTGGGGAAAGAGCAAAAAAAAAAAAAGAGAGACAAGGGGAAAAGTAGTTATTCACCCCAGTATCTATATTATAATACTATCAAAGTCATTTTGACCCTGAACTTTACCTGCTCAGCAACCTAGACCACTCTATGAAGAGAATCTCATCAGATATGAAGGCCCTCAAGATTCTCCCCGCTCCTCTCAAATGATTACCTTCATCTGCAGAACTATGTATGAGCTCCCCACAAACAGCCGGAGCCTCTTCCCAGGCCACAGCTTGCAGAGTGAGAAAGGGCACCTCATTGTGACCTGCATCAGGGCATCCATCTGCTTCCATACTTAACTATAACCTCACTTTCAGGAATTCCTCCCCGTTCACTCTGTTATAAATCCAGCACTTACTCTGAAGCTAAGTATTGTATATAGATTCTGCTCACCAAGAATTTGATTTTATTGGCTTTTTTTTTTTTTTATTTCCAGACAGGGTCTTGCTAAATTCCCAAGGCTGGGCTCAAACTTCCAATCCTCCTGCCTCAGCCTTTCAGAGTGCTAGGATTAAAGGTCTGCACCACCAGGTCCAGCCTTTGTTTTCCTATCTAAGAGCAGAGACTGCCTTCATGTTCCCTATGGCTGTCTATACACAGGGCACCTGTGCCCTCCCCTTTGTCATCTTCACCATCACCATCAATACAAGTAACACCAGCTACAGACACTAATTAATGAACACGCTCTATGCTTTCGGCACTGAGGACTTGCCATTTAACGTAAATTTAATCCTTTCAACAGTCCTAGGAAGAAACTGACATGTGAGCTCTCTCTGACTCAAAGGGTGGAAGCTAATTCAATGGGCCCCACTGTTGTTTAAATTCCAGCAGATTAATCCTATGGGATACACAGTATAAACTGGGAACTCACATGTATGTATTCTCAAAGCCATACCTTATACAAGACTTATGAGACACTCCTAGAGTTTTTTAGGAATTGTTTCCTTCCACAGCCCCTTCTCACATTCATCCTAAGTGCTAATAGACACTGAGAACAGAAGCTATTTTCGTACCCAGAGACCATCTCTTCTTTGTGTAAATGTTTCGTATTTCCTTGCATTGCTAAGTCCTAAAAATAAAACCATTAAGATAGGAGTACAAAGCTTTTAAATTGTATTTATTTTTATACTCCGAAGATAAAAACATATCAACAGAGTTTAAGACAGCAAATTCCTAACTATATTATGGATGGTAATCTAATTTAATTCTGCTATTCAGGATTACAGTGAAAGCAGTAAGAAATGTTTAGAGAAAACTTTAGTAAATGCTGGTACGTATTATTTGAAAAATAAAACAAGTATTAGAACTCTTACCAAGCCTTCGCCAGGTTTAACGTTGGGTAAGTGAACCTCCTCCAGGCATGCACACTGGCTCATAACAGGGTCTGTGGCAGATCTAATTGTTTTGTCACAGATGCCATTTAAAACCTTGACCTGGAATTAGAGAGGCAAAGAGTCGGGAGAGCGCAGTTGTTGATCAGGTTTATCTCAAGCTGGGTTTTAAAGAAATGCACTTCATATATATATATTTTTGTTTGTTTGTTTGTTTGTTTATTTTGGTTTGGTTTGGTACCGAGGATCAAACTTGGGACCTTGTGCTTTCGAGGCAGGCGGCAGAACCACTGAACTAAATTCCCGGTCCTTTCACTTATAATCTTTAGCTCTGGTCAGCAATCATTTTGATAATTCTGTTCAATGAATGTGAAGCACTTGGCCTCCATATCTGCAATCTTGGGAATGGTGCCTCTAGTTCGGCTTTGTTTAAAAACTGTAGCTTTTATATTAGCTCCTTCACACCCACTGAAGAGCATAAGCCAGGAGAAACACCTTTTCTGCTGTTAAGGGGAAGCATCTATTTGCAGACACCTAAATGGCTTATTAGGCTTATTAGTGATGGCTCAGAATCCCTGAATACCAAATATTAACAAGGTAAAAAAAAAATTCTTTGGGGCCCTGAAACATATGTTTAAGTAGATTATTTTTTAAATAGTTTTAGGTTTATAGAAAAATTGAACGAGTATATTGTGCTCCCATTTAGTCCCTCTCCCCAGCCCATCTTCTTCTACTATTAACAACTTTCTCTAGCATGGCACCTTTGTCACAACTGATACTGATATTGGGACACTTTTATTAACCCCACAAAGGTGACAGATCATATGTTACCCATAACAATATGTAAGAAGAGTTTGTATCTCTCACATTAGCCATGACCTCTGAAGGGTTAACTAAAGTCTTTAATTTACATTAGTGTCCACTCTTTGTGGTGTATATTCTATAGGTTTTGACAAATGCTTGATGTTATGTATCCAACATTACTATATCACATACTTTCATTGCCCTAAATATCCCCTCTCCTTAGCCTAATTATCCATCTCCCACTTTCTCACTATGAACCCCTGGCAATCAGAATTTCAAATAGTTGGAATTAGATAGCATGTAGTCTTTTCAATTGGCTTACTATAACTAATAATATGCATTGAAACTTCCTCTGTATTTTCTCATAGCTTGATAGTTCTTTTTTTTTATCAGTGAATAATACTCTATTTTATGGATGTGACATGTTTTTCTATCCATTCACCTATAAGGTGATATTGTGATTGGTTTCCATTTTTTGACAATTACGAATAATGGTACTATAAATGCTCTGTGCAATTCAGTGCAAATTTTTGTGGATATAAATTTTTAACTCTTCTGGATACACACCTTGGAATCCAACTGGTGGACGGTATGGCCAGAATATGCTTAGTTTTTCAAGAAACAGCCAAATTGTCCTCTAACCTGTCTGTACCATTTTGCATTCCCAGCAGTGAGAGTGACTGCTGCTCCACATCCTCCCCAGCACTTCATGTTGTCAATGTTTTGAATCTTAGCCAGTCCAAAGGTACGGAATGTTGTTACCTCATCCTTCCAATTTGCAACTCCCTAATTACAAATGATGTTGACCACTTTTCATTTGCTTATTTGTCATTTGTGTGTCTTCTTTGGTAAGGTGATGGTTCAGTTCTTTGGTCCCCTTAATCAGGTTGTCTTCTTATTTTTAGGAGTTCTTTGTATATTCTGGATATAAGTCCTTTATCCGATAAAGGTGTTTTGAAAATATTTTCTCCCTGTCTGTGGCTTGTCATTTCATTCTCAACATTGCACTTCCCAGAGCAGAGTTTTTAATTTTAATGACATCTATATTATCTATTTTTTTCTTATTAATTGTGCTTTTGATTTTCTAGCTAAACACTCACTACCAAGTATGCCTAAATTTTTTCCTATATCTCCTATAAGATGTGAAGTTCTCATTTTGTATTTAGGTCTATGATCATTTTAATGATAGTTCATATTTTCTGAATGCCAAACACCAACAAGGTAAAACACTACAGAGATAAGATGGGGTACCTATTAAGAGGTCTCTGTGTAAAAGCCAGAGTGATATTTGGCCCAATCAGATCCATCTAATCTTTCAAAATTAAAGACCCAATGAAATCAGGAAATTCCAAAGAGTGATTTTTTTTTCCTAATGGGGAGAATCCAAGAAATGACACTTTTTACACTCCTCCAATTTGTTTAGCCTATTTATGGAAAATATATTTATAGCAGTTTTGTTGCTAAATTCCTCAACATCAGTAGGAGGAAGACCTTATCAAAAGAGCACAGGCTGGTTTATGTCAAAAGGAGGAAGTGCTGATGAATAGTTTCAAAATGCTCTTTAAACAGTCATAGCACACCCCCTTCTCCCACATCGTGAAGATTTTGCCAAGAATTTTTTTTAACAAAATGGTCCTAAAGTTAAATCTGCAAATCACTTTAACCCCGATTACCAGGCTAAGGTACCAATGTATGTACAATTGTACCCTGATGAACTGTTCAAAAGAAAAACAAAAACAAAACAAACAAAACCAGAAATCTCAATATAGCTAATTTAAGCTCTGGAATTCTTGTAATTCTTGGTCTTATTAAATAATTTTGTTCTTCCTCTTTGACCTAAATTAATAGATTCATATCCTAAAAGCAAATATTTCAAATTATAGTATAAGGTAATTACCCATAGTGCATTTACTGTAATTAGTGTGATTCCCACTGCCTTTGGAAAAGGAATTTTACAATAATTTTCACAAAGCATACTTACTACAGATAAAACTTTATCCTCCATTTCTGCTACAAGGTAATCCTAAAGAAAAAAAAAAAGAAAATGGTCTGAGAGAGTAAAAACTTAAAAACTAGTGCCTTAGCCTTGTAGATTTTTCCAGGAGCTCATGAGGTCCCTGACATACACCCTGCCCATCCCTCAACTTGAGCATCCTTCGAGTCTGGAAAGGAGAGAAGGACAGAATGGGAATGAAACTGACATTTGTCTTTTCCTAAAGTCCTGGTCTCCCCTGACCTAAGGAGCTTATCATTCAAGTAACCCACGTGGCCAATTATTTAATTTAAAAAACCTACAAAAATCACTGACCAGAAATCCACGTACTGTCTAAACTGTCCAGAGAGTACTAAGTCAGAAGTCCAAGTCCAAGAAACCTGGTAATGGCTCCCAGTATGGCCCAAGCTAAGCTAGCAGCAGCCCAACCAGCCAGCAGCCCTAAGCTCTGGCCTGCCTTATAAGAAGAGCTTTCCAACAAGGGCTTTGAGCAAACTCAGCCACAAAAGTTTATTTTAAGCACCACTGAGATTAAATCAGATATTTCAGTCCTTGGTAGATGAAAAAAGTTTAACAAAACATTCATTAAGACTCTGCCAAAAAAGTGGTCTTGAGGTATGCTATTGACACAAAGGGCTGGAATGCAAGGCTTTATTTACTCAGCTCCAGAACAAAAGATCCAGGACACAGTACATAGCACAACAGAGTTAGCTGATCACAGAAATCACCACTGTCCTGTCCAGAAGGAACCAAAGTGAAACTGCCAATATGAAACATTTACAGCTAACCTTCTAGAACTATCCACAGTGGTGGATTTCAACCCACATTGCAGGGTGTGTGCAGAAGAAAAGAAAGCCAGAGTAGTCTTTTTAGAGTTTATCCCGCACCATTAAGTACGATCCAAACTAGGACAATCTTAAGGATAATAATAATAATAATTTCAGGTACATGAAAAATATTACCTCTGTTGAAATGAGAAGGTAATTTGAGGTCTTTGTTTAACTACTATTGGCAGAGGGAATGGGTTGGATACCAACTTCTTCTACCTTAAGAGAATTAATCATCAGACTTTCATTATTTTAATTTTTTAATTTTCTCTACTAGATAAAAATGTAGAAAATAATAGCTGCTCCCAAAATTGACACCTGCTTCTTAAGAGTAGCTTAGGAAGAAAAAAAAATTTAAAAGAAACTGAGAAATTTCCTTTTGGCAAATTTGACATATGTAAATTTGATGAAAATCCAAACTCCAGGAGCAACTTACGTAAAATGCGAATAACTGTAGGTCAAAAATGTGCCTTTCTGTCCTATCTTATGCCTGAAACTAAACTACTATAATAGTTCATTTCCTATTACTACTGACAGCTATTACATAAATATCAACTTCAGAAAAACAGTATATTCATATGGTAGAAATATAATTCATAATTTGTGTCGGTAATCTCTCATTACAAACCACAAAATGGTATCAGCACTGTCATCCTTGAAGGCTGTCACTCAAAAGCAGAGACCTCTCTCAAAACACTAGGCTCCAAGCATCGGGTCAGGGTGTGACCACATGGTTCCCAGTACTTGATTTTTGGATAGACCCAAGAAGCTACCAAGAAAACTGGCCCTCTGTTGTGGCAACTAGGCCAACAGACACAAGTCTGCCTCCCAACTATTCAACTGGCGTGTGAAAGGGTTGTCTTCCCCCATGGTAAACGTGGGTTCCCACACCCACCCCCACTGAGAGGAAGCAGCTACAATGTGCCTTCACAGTATTTGGCATGAAAGCAGTAGAGTGGAAAAAGAAGTACTGGAACAAATCGCCCCTTCATGAGTCAGATAGTGAGGCAGAGTTTCATTACCGTCCTAGGTCACCTGGATGAGCAGACAGGGCCTAACCCGGCAGCCAGGGACACTGCCCTGGCTGGTCTCTCCTGCCCCCAGCCTCCACTCCTTATTGTACCTGTTTAGGAACTGAGACCTTGGGCAATATGTTTAGTACCTCTGTGCCTCTATTTCCTTCTATGTAAGATATGATAACAAAGACTACCTCAGAGAACTTCTGAGAACCCATGTTCTTCCATCATTATAGAAAACAAACACTGATCAAGAGCTAAATTCTTCTGAGTCTAAATGCATAAAATAATGTCCCCATATATATTTACATATCTTCAGGCTTCATTCTTTAAAATTCTTCAAATTTAAAATGTAAAAAAAAAAATCAAAAAATGAGAACAATATATTTGTTTCATTCCTCACTTAAACTAACAAGTTTGGTTTCAGAAAACCAATACAAACTAAGATTTTTATATTTCCTATTATGTAATTTTAAAAGTAGGAACTGTGGTTTTAATATGTTATAGCTCATGTAATCTCCAAAATAGTATTTTGAAGGAGGTATTGTGTTTTAAATATCTTGTGTTTTGGGTGGAGGAGAAGCTCAGTGATAGAGCACTTGCCTACAAGGGCCTAGGTTCAATCTCTAGGTTCACACACGAACAGATATCATTTATCTATACCTGATTTTCCATGAATGCATAGATGTGATCATGTATATGATGTTTGTAAATGAAAATGTTTTGTCTCTTCTTCGTTATTTTATTTTTATTTTATTTTATTTTTCCTTGGCTCCTTTCTCTTTCATCTCTGTCCTTGCCAGAATAAATTCAACCTCTCTTCCAAATTGCCCATTCCATGACTTCTACCTTTACAAAGAGGACTGTGGATATATATGTATGTGTATATTACAAATACACACAGCGAAACACACACAATTTTTTGTTCCCATTTGTCTCTACATCTCACTTTTCTCCCTTTTTCTTTACTCAACAATAACTTGTAGAAATCCTACCAAGTCATCTGGAAAAGTAAATATTAGAATTTCCATTTTACAGATGAGAAAATGGAGTGCAGGCTCATAAACTTCAAGTAATTTATCCAAGGGCTAAATAATAGTAGAGATAGATTCAAACCTATGACTGTGTCTCTAAAAAGAACATGTTTTACTACAGAATAAACTCCCTCAATAAGGACCACAGTGAAAATTATTTTTAAAATGAACATCCACACTAATAACACATGCAGTGTCCCTAGAGTTTGGGTTCACTTTCTCCCAATAAAAGACAAATTACTATCAGCTTCTTTGTCAGAACCATTCATTCCCTGAAATGCACATGATATAATGTGCACCATTAATAATGTACCAGGCATCGTGGGCCATCAATAAGCAGGGACAAGTATGATGAGAGCAGTCAGCTGAAACCCTCCTGATGTGACCAGATCAGGGTCTGCACCTCCCATGGGAAGCCTTTTTTTATCACCAGTTCACAATGATCCAACCTCTACAACCACATAGAAAGGACTGCTTAAGGTAATGCATTATTAGCTCACCCATCTTGGTGGGAAGAGAATTTAACTGGTCTAAGTACTCAATAGTCACCTTCCCAATGAGGGTAACTGTTAACAAGTATCACAATTACATTCCACTTTCAACCCTCCAGTGCCCCTTTCCTCCTCAGCGCTTCTCTAATGTTATGTAACTGCACATACACAGTACAAGTGTGTATGTTTGTGCACATGTGTAATTTTCCTTATTTTAGTTCTTAGTTTAGTTATCTCTCCAGAGACTGTAGACTCCATGAATCAGGGACTTTTTATCTTTCTTTACTCTGGCACCCCAGTGCCTAGACAGTGGCAGAGAGAGTTAAGAGTCAAATATTTATTGAAGGAACTGTCCAACTATCTGAAAAGCCAACATCAACCTGCTTAAGCAAAACAGACTCACCTTGTGAGGACAAATACTACTGTTCTACCCTCTGCTTTGTCACTTTCCCACCTCTGCTTATCCCGAAGTACAGACAGCCTGAGTCAGACACATGATCTAGGACCCTTCACAAGAAAGCAGAGGTGCACCTAGGAGAAAAATGTACCCACTTGCTAAGTACTGTTTAGCTTTAACACTTTAATTTAGCTGATGGCATGTAAAATTGGCTGAACATCAAAATAAGAAGCAAAATACTACAGGAAGAGGGAAGTAGGAAGAAAAAGAACACTCAAGAAACGTATCAGGGAAATGCCTTCCACCACCAACGCCAGGCCTCTGAGACTGTATGACTCATGTGTCACAGCTACTGTCAAGACTCTGTCAAAGTTACCTTCTCCATCATAAAAAGGAGCAAACCATTTAGTAGCCCTGGGCACCTTTCTCAGATCATGGTCTCAAAACTACACTGCTGGAAGTTCGATGGCTGCTCATGACTGGATCTCAAACACCTGCCATGGACAAAGCCATGGTTAATTCTTCATCTTCCAGACACAAACAGAGACCACACAGCTTCTCACAACTGCATTTCCGTTATACCACAGTCAGGAGTGAAGGAAGGATGTTCTTTATTTTTTCCAAATGAGCAGTGGAAACAAACTTTGAATCGCAGAATTTTAGAATCAAGTATGATATGAAGGAAAAAGGCTCTTCCTTCTATTTTACAACCTTGACTCAATTCAAAAATAATGTGTAAGTGTCTGATATGCCAAGTAATATGACAAGAGAGGGTCTTCAGTGCTCACAAATCTGTAATAATTTTTTGTTAAGATCACAGGAGCTAGATAAGTTAAAAGACTGATATAAAATTTCCTGGGCCCTCGCTAAGATACCTAGAACCAGACAATGAGCCATAAATGAAACTGACATGTGTGTGTCACTTCCAGACCAGAAGATACATCAGTGAGGGAAACTCCAAAGTTCTCTCTGTTGTGAGGACACACAACACGAGATACCAGCAGTTCTGTCAGCCTATATCCTGAAATGAGGAGAATCAGATCATATCTTCCAGCCGCCCATTTGGATATACATAATGGAGGAATAAATGCTGGGGTATGGGGGTAGTTATTGCCTCATAACTTAGCCCATCCTGGCTGGTAAATCCAACAACCAGAGGTCAAAAAGAAAGACCACAATCAACACATTTAATAAAGTACTGAGAACAAAGATTACAGCGAGCATTTCTACTTAAATTAAACTCTAACATTTGAGGGGAAGTACAAGAAAGCTCAACTATTTTAAAACGAAAGAAGATAAACTCTGATTCAAAGGCCACTGGTCATTTTTCACACAAGTTATCTATACAATGCATCTAAGTTAGACTTTCATCTCTCCCCAATTCTGATGAAAAAAAGTGGTGTGGGGGTACTTCATACCTGCATGGAAACCCTTTGAAGAAGAAAAACAGGGAAAAGACAAATTTAGAAACCTATAATGATTTACTACTGACCTTCTGGACTGTAGTGGTCAGGTCTAAGCAAAGCTGAATGATTTTGTTCTTCGTTACAGAGAAATCAGTGATCCCTGTAAATGGAGCCCTGGAAAGTAACAGAAAATTCTCTTAAAAAAAAGGAGGTAGTGAGAGGAACCCATCAGGATCCAACATTGTATTTTGCCAGGCATAACTACACAACAGGCTGGTTTAAAATCGTTTTTCATATTACTAATCTCAAGTAAAACATCAAATAGGAATCTGAACAGGAAAAGGACGGAGAAGTGCTAAATAAAAACACATCCAAAAATGAGCTGAGAGTTAATGTCCCTTCAGAAGTGAACTAATACCCTTCATACCAACCAAGAGTCAACCATTAATGTTTAATCTCAGTAGCACACAACCTTTAGCAGTTTCACTCTTCTCTAAGCTGAGGTTAAACTCTTCTCATTATTAACCTTTTTTTAAGTAATGTCCACAGGAACCCTAAGATCCACTTCTGATCCAGGATTCCTGAGCCCCAGTGAAAAAGGGCAAAAGGAACAATGGTTTGTTTTCCTAAGACACAGGACTGGCCTTGGTATACCTCAGATCCTCCTCGTAGAACACAGTTAAAGGCATGGGGCTACTCACCGGTCCAGCCAAGCCAGCAAAGCCTTGGCAGCACCTATGAGCTCCACCACTGAAGTCAGGAGCTCATTGGGGGGCTTGCGGGATGTGTTCCCATCATAAGCTGGATTTTTCCGCCGGCTACTTATGTGATTCTGTAAATTGTTGGAAGATGCCCGCAGTTTCAAAACCAAATTCTTCATATTATCAGTTTCAAGACCATAATTCTGTAGGAAAGGAAAGAATTCAAATCAATCAACAAGGTCCAAACTCTCCTAATGACTCAAGAGCTCACTGAGTAACTGGAATAACTCCTATAAGCCACCAAAAAATCCTGCCTGATCCACCCAGGGCTCACTTCCCTAGTCGTCACCACCACTACCACTACCATCCTGGTTTTCTCTCTGCTCCCCCCACAGCTCGCTCCTGACTCTCAGGGAATTTGTTCTTGCTGGTTCCTCTTCCCCAAATCCTCTTTGCATGGATCTTGGCATGGACAACAATTCTTATCACTCAGGTGCTGACCCAAACATCTCCTCATTTTCTGGGAGGATTAGTGGCCACTTAATCAACAGCAGGCTTTCTCAGCCTGGGCTTCAGTGGCATGTGGGCTGGATAATTCTGTTTTGGGGGTGGGGTTCCTGTGCACTGCAAGATTGTCAATGGCACCCCTGGTTCTACCCACATTAGCAGCATTCCTCTCCCCAGCCGGGACAACCAAAAATGCTTCCCAACACTGCCACATGTCCCCTAGAAGCAGAATCAGGCCCTCAAGTCACTCTCCAGCAGACTACTAACTTCTGCCCGCCTTGGGATCGCAGGGTTTGTTGCGACCTTCTCCCTGGAGATGCAAAGTCTGCAGGAACAGGGCTCTGTGTGTTGCTCACACAGATCAGCAGGCAAATATATCACAGTCAGCAAATACATAAAGTCCACTTAGATGACACTCACAGAAAAAAGTCACAATGGCTAAAAGTCAGTTCACCAGAAATGTATGTAATTCCTCTCTCTCTGGAGATTCCGACCTGTTTTTGTTTTTGTTTTTGTTTTAAGTGTTCAACTTACTTGAGTGCTTTAAAAACATCAATTTTGCATGACAATACTGCCCTAGGCCAGTGGTGGCCAACCTATGGTGCCGAAGTGGGCTGTTTGTTATCAATGAAAGTTCTAAAACGTTCTCCATCACTCTCCTAGATTCTCTTTCAGATTAAGAACCAATCCCAGGAAACAACTTATAAATCTGAGGCAGGGTATGAATTTCTGTATTCAATTTTGTGTGTGTGTGTGTGTGTGTGTGTGTGTGTGTGTGTGTGTGTATGTATATATATATATATCTCCTAAATTGGTGTTTGATCTTTTAACAGAAAGGGAAGATCTGGTCATATAATATACTATTTCACTAGTATTCCAAAGTAAGAACCTAGCACTAGCACCATTTTAAAACTAGGAATAACATAATAGCTTATATTATTGAACACTTACTCTATGCCAGGAACTGAGTTAAGTACTCAACATATGTTAATCTCAAGGAAACCACCCATGAAGGTACAAATGTTACTACAGATTGAGCGTCCCTTATGCAAAATGCTTGTGAACAGAGGTATTTCAGATTTTGAAATATTTGCATGTACAAGACCCAAATATAAACACAAAATTCATTTTTGTTTCATATACACATAGCCTGAAGGTAATTTTATACTTTTTTTTGCTTTTTTTTTTTTTTTTTGGTACAAAAGATTGAAACCAGGGCCTCTGCACTGAGCTACTACATACCCAGACCTTTTTCTAAATCCTTTATTTTGAGACAGGGGGCTCATTAAGCTACACAGGCTGGCCTTGAACTTGCAGTCCTCTTGCCTCAGCCTCACAGAGTTCTGGGATTATAGGCTTCTGCAGCCACATGTGGCATCTACTCCATATAATTAGTGTGCCTAGGTTTCGACTGTGCTCTTGTCATACAAGGTCAGATAAGGAATTTTTTCACTTGTAGTATTATGATGGCTCTCAAAATATTTTGTGCTCCGGAGTATTTTAGATTTATGACTTTCAGATTAAGGTCACTCAACCTTATTTCTGTTTCACAGGTAAACAAACTATAAATTCCTCAAAATTATACAGCTGATCAGTAGCTGGGTAAGGATTCTATTCAAGGCAATCAGCATCCAGCAACAACTTTGGGTCAATATGTTGTATGTTCCCCCCTTTCTTCTGCCCTTCTCAAGAAAGGGCCAAGTGGTTGGATTAGAAAAGGGAAAGATATTAGACAAGAATAAGGTCAGTGATCCTATAACTAGCACAATCTAACATGCTGTGTGTCTCCCCCAAATCCCGATACACTCTGTCCCTTCCAATGTCAGGAGCTTCCTTAGGCCAGTTCTACCCAGCCAGCCATCTAGGCCAAAAAGGGACCGTGTTTAGAAATCAAGAAAGCATAAATATATTAAGACGTTTGTGAGAACCTTTTTTTTTTTTTGACCAGATGAACAATGTTAACAACAAAGCTTTGGTATTAATGAGAACAACTTAATTTTAAACGCATTTTATTTGAAGTTCAAATTTATGGTGTTTATTACTAAAATAAAAAATAGTTTAAAAGTCCAAATAGAAATGTTGGAAAGACCTATGTACAAACTAACTGCAAACAGGCTTTTATAAGCTTTAAAGGAACTGTAAATTTCAAAATGTAACTGTGTTCTGTATTGACAGCAATGTTCTACTTGAATCTTACACGTATTCATTTTTTCCTTCACTGTTATTTTCTACAGACTAAAACAGAATATGTTCCTTCAATAAAGAATATACCAAAAAGATGGATTTTCATCATGGCTTCTGAAATTCAAAGAAGCAAAGACTCCCAGGTGAATGGGTAAAGAGCCCATGAGATGCAACTTGTTTTGAAGGGCCTGGGTCAGTGACAGGGGCCCTGCCTTTGGTCCATTACTCAGCCTGCCCGCTTATATCAAGAGTGTTCACTACAAGCGAGGAAGTTGGCTTTCTGCAATTAATGCTGCCACAAATTACTTGGAGCTTTTATTTCCATATACAACATTTACTCCTTCAACATAAAAAGGATTAAATATATTTTCTTGCTGCAAGAAATTTCCAACCTCCGTCTTCAATAAATCCATCACTTTTAATACTAAAATAAAGGTGAAGAGTAGCTTCTTTAACTGGTTTTCTTCATTTTCCACTCAATTTACTCTGGTTATTTTTTTTCCCAAAAACAAATTATGGAACTGGAAAGATGTGGTTAAAATTGAGTATATTTTTTTAAGGAAGGAAGGAGGATATTTCCTTCCCCTTTGACTCTGCTCCACAAAAGAGAGAATAAAAAACTAATTATATTAGCTCAAAAGAACCTCTGCGGTAGAAATATATGTAGGAAAGGATTATTAACTTCAGTGCCCCACAATAAAAGGTAGAAAATGATAATTTCTCAGACTAGATTTCATTATTGTCATGAATCTCCTCCCTAAAACCTGTCTCTTCCTGACATTGATTTAATATAAGCATTAAGAAGATACTGATTAGGCTGCATGTGCTGCTGAGTGATAGAGCATGCAAAAGGCCCTGAGGAAGATGAAGATGAAGAAGAGGAAATAGAAGCGGAAGTGTTAGAAAAACAAGCAGCAGCAGAAGCAACAGAAACAGCAGCAGCAGCACCACTGCCACCACCACAGGGATCACAGTTCATTAAAAGAAACATTTCCTGATCTGGCGGGGAAACAATACACTTTCCAGGAGGAAAAGAAAGAGACCAGATTCAGTTCTTCTGGCTCTGTTCATGATCTAACACACATGATAAAGAGGTGTCAGAGACACACAAGCAAAGCCATTTTATTGACTTAGGTCGATTAACTGACAATCTAAGAAATATAATTCAGTTTTCCTAGAGGCATATGATAAGGTCCTAAGCAAGATCAAATTAAACACAAATTCTTGGCAAAGATTCCTGTTCTGAATGATATTTCCCCACTGATAAAAGGAGAGAAAGAGAAAAACTCTTCAATGATTTGTGATGGGTGAATGATGAACAACATCATTCAGGGGTGTGGCAGCGTACATAGCACTTATGCAGGTAGGAAGGTTAACTACAGATACTTCATTTAACATAAATTAGGTGGCATCTACGTAACATGTGGAGGAATTCCAACCTCATTCACTTTTGGCCTATTTCAACTTTAAAAGCACAGCTATCCCTGCCTTGGTCTTCAGAACACTAGAGCTTGATTGACTAGGCAAAGTACCCAGTCACCATTATGCTTTCTTGCTATCTACCACACAGTCTCAACCAGTGCTGTCCAATAGAGCTTTTTGCAGTGATGGAAAAGATCTTTATCTGTGCTCCAATGTAATGGCCACTAGCCACATGTGACTACTGAGCACTTGCAATGCAGCTTGTGCAACTGAGGAACTCATTTTTATTTAAAGAGCCACATAACACATCACTCTCCTAAGTCACTCCTGCCAGCAGGGTCAATGTTCACAAAAGGCAGTCTCCCTCCTTGCAGTCTCATTATGACCAGCTGTTTATGAGCCATTGTTTACCAGCTGTAAAATACTGATCAATAGCTATTCCCTATTTTAGGTCCCTATCCATTCTATCTGCCCTTCTTTTTGTTCCAAAACTTTCCAGTGGTTTTGTTTCTTCCTCTCTCCTCCTTCCTTACTCCTATTCATTTCCTGTCAATCATAAAATCAACACACACTAAACTTAGTTTACACAGAAACCTCTTTTATAACACCAGGGCCAACTACAGTTACACATTAACAGCCCAGGAGATGAACTATTCATAGCAAAAAATTATCACTAATTTATAAATCCAAAGATCTATGTAGAATTGGATTAAACAGATAGGATAATTAACATGTAGAGTTATAAGAGTTTTTGAAAAGAGGGTTATTTGAAGACTAGAAATATTTTAGTAGAACTACTGAAACTCTCCCATCCCAGAACAGGCACAGTGGTGTGCAACCCTCAAGGGACCCTCCTGTCCAAAGCAGCCTGGGCCCCTTTGGTGCATAGAGCAGGTTCAGAATGAGTCTGAGGTCAAAGCCTGGTCTGCAGAGGAAATTAGAAGGAAATTGTAGGAGATAAAACACAGCTTGAGGTTCTGGCATTTGTCCAGCTTTGTTCATTTTAGTCTAATATTTTAAGAGGAAGGGAAGAGGAATGAGCGAAGAGATTGCCCAGAGGCAGCTGCTGCACTCCCCAGTGTACACAATGTGCCTCTGGTGCACTCTTTCTCCTCATCTCTCAGACTATGGATTTCAGAGTAATTTACTTGTCCTCAAAGTATTGCTGCAAAGTGAAAGTGACAATTCTAATGCACACAGCATCTTGTAGAAAAGACTAAAAAGCCATGTTGCCAGAAAGTATAATCAAAGTAAACCCAAACATGTTGGACTACAAAAAACAGTTTTAATAATAAACAGGGAGGTTCATGTCCTTAGCAGCACAAAACACTTACACATGAGAACGCCGCCACATCTAAGGTGAGTGTTACTGTACAGATGGGGAAAACAGATACCACTGTTTCCCGGGAGGTCACAGAGGCAGTAGCATGGAGCAGAGCCAGGATTCAAATGTAAAAATCCTGCCTCCCAGGCCAACACTCAGACCACTTGGCCATAGTGTCTCCCTTGTGGCAGCTCATTTATCAACCACAAATAATTTCCCCATTACTCTCCTAAACAAGAGCAGGGCATCACAGCACACAAGACAAGGCTCTGTCCATTTTAAGAAAAAGAATACGCACAATGTGGCAAGTGTTATATAATGGACAGAATGCAGACCAGCAATGGTAAAATCATTGCAAGCTTGTCCTTTCCCACCATTCTCAGTGATGCAATTGTATATACCTCTGGCTCGGGTTCGGAGCATTACTAACCCAACTTGAATGCTGGCAAATATGTCTAAATCCTGACGGTCCAACTGCATCCTTAGTGGCTGGCAGCATGACAGCTAAACATGAATCCTACTCATGCCAACTGACTTGTAAACAAAATGTCCTTACAGATGTTTTAATCCACACCTAAAGGAACTATCCAGGCAGCCTCAGGTGTAACTGAAGCCTCAAGACCAGGCAGGATTTAACTCACTCATTTACAGCCAAAGCCTAAGCATTTTCAAAATATAATAAAGGTCACATTTTTCCCCACCTAGCTGCCATTTCTTACATTGATTATTTCAAGCACAAACATCAGTTATTTAAACAGAATGAATATCTGTGAAATTCAAAATTCTTTTACACTAACAAAAAACAGGTGTGAAAACTGAAACGGTCCTCATTTCAATTTAGAAGATGACATGACACTTTCATTCAAGACTTTCTCCATCCTTTCACTCTTTATAAAAAATAAGACTAATTATAGCCATTTTCAGTAAATGGCAATTTTTTTGTAAAGGGCAAGACAGTCAATATTTCAGACTTTGGAGGACCATATGGTCCCTGCTACAACTACTCAACTCTCATTGCAATACAAAAAGAGTCACCGACCACGTTATCATTGAATGAACATGGCTGTGCTACAATAAAACTTTATTTATAAAAATACACAGCGGGCCAGATTTAACTGGTAGGCCTTAGTTTGCCAGCCCTAATCGAGCAAATGATGTATTTTCTTCCCTTCTTAGGTAATCTTCAACACATGCTACATTCACTTCAATGGATCATTAAGAAAATGATGCCATGCTGAATCACAATGAGGATTTGAGAATGTGATTCTAAAGAATGTCATGGCAGTACAGTTAACCTTTTCCTGAACTAACCAGTGCACAAAGAAGGTCAACAGCCTCCAACACTAGCTCCTGGTGTCCAATTCGTGTGACTCCCAGCTCCTCCAGATCCTGGTGGGAAATCCGCAGCAGCTGTTCCCCATCTATCTTCTCCCGCTCAAACTTGTGGACATATGGCTGCAGGCAGTCGTCTAAACCTACCAAAAAAAATGAGAACTCCATTATTTGTCATTCTGTTCCTTTATGCCACCCTGAAAATTACCCACTTAAATCAATCTTAGCAATCATCAAATCTCCTATTATTACTTGATCATTCTACAATGTATATTCTATTCTGTGTGGTATCATCTCATCTCAAACAGGTCTGAAATGTTCAGTGCAAACTACTATACTCAAATGGACCCAGAAGTATTTGATGATAGGTACCTTCTCAATCCCTGTAAACTAAAGGAAGAAACACTAACCCCCTGCTGATTTGAAATGCTAGTCTCAGACACATGTTCTGTTTGCTTCCTTTGGGACACTTCCCTCTCCCAATGGCTTACAAATCAAGATGTTTTGCCACAGTAGTTGGCACATGGCCATGATGGCCACAATGCTCCATATACCAGCCAGTCATGGCTTCAAAGGATGGCCCTGTGACTTAGGCAGAACCAATAAAAATCTTCCTTGCTATCTGCTATGTAGATACAACTGAAAGCCATAGGATACAACCTTAGTGATCCTGGCAATCATTTTTCTGAGAATAAATCCATTTGAGAAAGGGAGAATCTCTGAAAATATCCTATAACATCCCTAGATCTAAACCTTTTAGTGATACTTCTACCCCTAGAATTTTCCACTTAAATTGAAGTTCCCCTTCTAGCTTAACTTTAAATTTCTTTCCCTTGCAAACTGAAAAAGTTCTGATGAATACAAACATAAAGGAGAAGGTACCGATGGTGGTAATGGAGAATGGCAATGTTGAATGAATGAGCTTAGGAGAATTTTTTCAGGTCCAATACTATTGCCAATGGTGTTGTACCTTTATGACCTTAAAGAATGACTAAAATGGGGAAACCAAATAGAACTTTGGAATCTTTAGTCGTGTTCAGAGAACTCTCCAGTTAACTTCTTAGAAGGGTTTTAAGGGAATTAAAATCTTAGCCTAAAAGTAATTGTTCTATTAAACCTAATAATAAAATCACCTTAGTATTTTAAGACTAGATTTACTTACATTCAATGCCAACATAAAGGATGCAAACTCAATTTAACCTAAAAAAAAAAAAAAAAAAAGCATGTGGAAGCCATGCTGCTGGCCTCTGCTCCCACACGTTTATTTCATTTAATGCTCTCCAACTCGGTGTCATCTGGGCGGGTACTTCTCTCAATGGGAAGAAGCAGACACAAGGTCCAATACTTACTTGTGTCAATACTAAAGTATATGGATCTTAAAATCTGCTGTGTGAGGATAAACTACATCCCTGGCCCACCAATTGATAAGACATAGGAAAAAGAGGTGTTTCCTGATAACTACTTGGAGCTGTCAAGTACAGAAAGAAAAATAGGTCCATGGTAACCATTTGGAAACAATTCATCCTCCCTGAACTGGTATTTGTCTAGCAAAGGGGCTCAGTCACATGGAAAGTGGGGCTGAAGACACGCATATAAAACCCAGTTCAGTCCACCAATCTCAAGTCCCAAATGGTCCCTGTGGTATGTGACTCAAGCAGTGAGTCCTAGACAGTCAGCAGGTGGAGAATGAGGCTATCACAGCACCAGCCACCCAGAGTTGGCCATCTGTAGCAGGGCAGCATTTATCTGCAGCAGGCAGCACTGGCAAAGGACAAGACTGGAGGGAGCCCACCTACTCTGCCCTATTTTATAGATGAAGAAATCAAGGCTCCTGGAAGATGTACAACCCAGCTACAAACTAGCAAGATGACAAGAGAAGGATTTTCTTTAACAAAAAAAAAAAAAGAATTCTCTACTGGTACAGAAGAAAAAGGCTTGAATTCAAATCAAGGCCTGTTGCTCATATGTTCTGCTCTTTTGAGTTCTACCTTGTAAGCACAGGATTCTAACATGAGATTATAAAAATTCCTCTCCATGAACTATACAAGTAAGCAGTAAAGTCTACTTATGAAAGTTATTAAAATAGAATGAAGAATCTTAGAGGTATTTAAAAGGTACTTCAAATGTAACTAGCCCAAAAATTAGAAACTTACCCTAAATCACATAACTGGCTCTAACAAGATTGATTTAACTTGTCACAAAAGTTTAAAATAACTATGTCATATACTTCAGCTGCTACAGCTAAACTGTGTCCTCCCAAAATTCTTATGTTCCAGTCTTAGTCTTCCTTACCTCAGAATATATTTGAAAAGAGAGTCTTTACAGAGGTGATTAAGTTAAAATGACATCCATATTAGAGTGATCTCAATCCACATGACTTGTGTCAAGGCAATTAAGACAGCACAGACAGGACCATATGAAGACACAGGAAGAAAATGGCAAGCTATAAGCCAAGGACAGAGGCCTCAGGAGAAGCCAACACTGCTGACACCTTGATCTCACACTTCCAGCTTCCAAAATTGTAGTAAGGTAAATTTTTGTTGTTTCAGCCACCAAGATCTATGGTACTTTGTTAAGGCAGCTCTAGCAAATGAGTACAAACCAACTCACGGTTTAGCTCATACTTCACTGCGCATGATGAACTCTTTCCTAGATAAAATAAAGAAGGCCCAGGAACTGGTAGAACTTAATGTTTCCTGTGCTAAGCAAGCTCATTGCTCAAAATACAAGCACAAAAATGAGAGATGGACGTTAGTTTTCATGTGCCAGTCCCTTAAAATTTCAGTAAACTTCACCCCTGAATGATAAAGAGAAATGAGGGTGAGGCCACAGTCTCCTTTAATCAAAAAACACCAAGGATCCTGGATTTCAGAAATACCCTGGACCAGTTAAGAAATATTTGGGGTATAGAAAGGACAGTGGAGGTTGGGAGTATGGTGAAGGTTCTAGAGAGAGAACTGACCACAAATGATCAGAGACTGTGAACTGTAGTGTAGTGAACAGATCAGAATCTCCTTGAGGAGCAATGAGACCTCAAATAATCAAAAGTTCCCATGATGTAGGAGGATCATGAAGTAGAAACACCATGTTGCTACCTATATAAAGGCAGAATTTATTGTGGTTTACACACTTTCTCCTTGAGATACACAAATACTGAATATGCTAGGCTTTAAACAGTACTATCCCCAGAGTTTTATTATTCCAACACATTATGACCTATTGTTCAGACGTTCTATTGCTTAGACTACAATTAGGCATTTATAAGAGGCTAATTTAAACTATTACACAGTCCCAGAAAGGAGGAGGAAATCCCTAACCTTGTGTAAACTGGCCTAACAGTTTTAGAATCTACAATAAACCATTCTTTTCTACTTATTTACCAAATGTACCTATTTGCCATCTTCTTGCTTCAAGATACTTACAGAAAGTCTAGCAGGACTAAGAAAATATCTAATTAAGTTAAGCACATTCCATTTATGTAAATTAAACACACAATAGAATGTGAAATAATGGAGAAGCAGCCACAGAATGGGTGTAACAGTCCAAGATAGGCAAACTTCCTACTTACTGTCCCTAAATCTGTAAATAATCCTCAATTTTCAAACACATCTCAAATGCAAGAGGGAAAAAGCACATCTCTCTCCTCTGATGTAGAAGGGGATGGGCAGGAAGTTAAAAGCCTGAGTTCCAGTCCCTGTTCCCCTTCTTACTGACCTCACAACTATAAGTGAGTTACTCAGTGCCTCACTTGTGAACCAGGGAACCATATAGAATTCTAATGAACACTGAACGTTATAGCAAGCTTAGAACACAATGGAGCACATAGTAAATGTAAGTTTTGTTAAATCCAAAAGGGTAATTTATGCAGACAGATAGGTGCAAGTGTTCAGGAAAAACACTGCTAGAGATTAAGAAACTCCCAAATGCTGAGGTGAACCCCCGTGATGAAACAAAATGTCAACAGCCTGTGTTATTACCTTCCCCAGAAAATGTCCCCAGATTTGAGAGCCTATGATAATCATTGGCTTCACCAAAAAGTGTTTTATGATTTATATCAGCATATAAGCACCATGAAAGGAGAGACTTCATTTGCTCATGGCTTATTCTATGGGCAGGCAGAACGTCCTGTATCGTGGCCAATGACGGTATTTCACCCTTTGTATGGCTGGATATTATTCCATTTCATGTGTATCATATTTTCTTCATCCACTAAAGATATTCAAAGAGGATTTTTGTTTTGTTTTGTTTTTGAGGAAATGTGTTGATTCAGAAATCTGGTTAGCTAAAGCTTTCAGACCCCATCCACCTGGAATTTTCAAGGGTTACAGGTGACATATGATGCAAAAGCTGTGGTCCAATACGATTTGAGTAGACTTGTTTTTCAACTAGGACAATCACTATAGACTCACATGCATTCAATTTCATTTAACAAAATTAATGTGCAGCTCTGCAGGCAGCGCACAGCCACACATACCTCCGTGAGGACAGATGAAAGAGACCAAGACTTAGAAGTCCAACTGGATGACTTTTACCAGAGGAAAGGAATCAAGATAACAGATACATTTGTGCCTGATGGCAATATTTCAGAATTTTCAGTGTTCCTGAAAACACTGAACAAGTATTTCATAGTCCTCTGATGGCAGTACAGTCCTTCCATCAAAGCTCTTCTGTCTTCCCAACTTGCACACTCCCCAGTAATAAAAGCATCAGTTTTGCAAACTGAAGCTCAATATGTTTTGGCTCCTGCACAAGTATAAAATGATTAATTGAACAGAGCAGACTTCAGAGCCTGCAGTTCAGAAGGGCAGGACTTCCCAGTGGCCCCTCATTCCAATCTGTATCACTTTGGAATGACTTTCTTTTACCACTCTTGGGTTGAGAGTGTCTGTATGCCTTCATTTTAACTAGCCTAGAACACTGATTTAAATACAGCAATCTGAGTTTAGACAGTAATATGTTTCCTCACAGAAGTGGACTGACTTTTAGCAGCATAATTTTAAAGGCCTGAGGAATTCTTTTGCCCAGAATTGACTGCCCTTTCCAAGAGTTCAGACTCAAAGCAGAGCCTCTAAGAAGCAAAGAAGGGGAGGCCCAGGGCCACCTCTCAGGACAGCCTCAGAGAAAAGAGCACCTGCTGAGGCTA